CCGTCCGCGGGTGCCGGAGGAGCGCGGAGAAACGCGGCTCCCGAGAGGAAGGGCGAAGGAAAAGCCCGTCCCGGGGACGAGACAGAATTTTCCCCGCGCCTTCTTCCTATTTGCTTGGAAGGACTCCTCTCCTCCCGGTCCCTCGTTTGGGAATCTGGCTGATTCACCTTTTTAATGATTATTTTTTCCCCCTGCAACGGGAGTTTGATCTTTTCCGAATTTACTGATTCACTCTCTATAAAGTTCGCAGCTGCAGCAAGCAAAGACCTTTTGCTGCTTCTTGACTTTCTGTAGAAACTCATCTCGGTAAAGTTTCAACTGAGGAGAGGTAAGATTTGGTAAAAGTTATTTCTCAAGAGCGTAGCAGGCTCCGAGGAAAGGACAGTCCTAGGAATCCACAGGGGTTTCTTTCCTCCAGCTTTTGCATTTACACATTCCTGGCTTTTAAAAATGTTATCTTATTTGAGAAATGCGGTGTGTTTATTAATGCTAGGAAAACGCCCTAGGTTTTTTATGAGAAATGCGGTTTATTTGAAAATCGAAGATTAAAAAAAGTGAAGTCATTCTCGAATTATTAAAAAAAAAAGTTTATTGTACTAGAAGAGTTCGCAAAAATTACCCTTTGTTTTCACAAAAATCCCCCTGACACATACTTAGTTGATGAAACTCTCTCCGAACATTTACATTCATTTCCATCAAAATTAAGTGACAAATTTACAGTCTCCGATGAAAACCTCCCAACCAATTCTCTCTCGCAGATAATTTTTAGCGATACATTCATTTAGAGGAGATGCCCTTCTCCTCTTTTTTCCCTCGATTATCACATAAAATCGTTTTCTTTCCTGGGGAGAAATTCGCCGGCAATTAGGAGCAATCCGCGGTTCCCACGGCTTGCGCCTCGCTCCGCGCGTCCCTGCGGCGCGGGCTGAGAGCGGAGCGGGGATTTCTCCTCTGAGCGAACAGCAAAGGCTCAAACTAACTTTTGGAGAGGGAAAAAAAAAAGACTTTGTTTAAAACTTTGCTAAGCCCCACAAATTGCACGGAGGGAAGGGCTGAATTACAGTGCAAGAAACCAAAAGATCACTACTTGGAAATCAGATCAGGAGGAGCCGGATTTGGGGGGAGGAAGTGGGAACAAGCCCGGCCGAAATGACAGTTAATTCATTTCAAACTTATCTTGTCTCTTTAAACCGGAATAGATGTTGTGATGACTATATATAAATATATAGGGCCTTTCTCCTTTTTTTTTTCATTTTCTTTTCTTTCCTTTTTTTTTTTCTTTTTCTTTTTTTTTTTCGGAGCGGGAGGGGGAAATAACCGTTTCTTCCCATCGTTTCTCCGCCGTTGTGCTCCACACTTCTCCCTGGCAGCGCAGGGCAGCTCGCAGCAGTTTTCCAAATACCTGCATTTACACTTGGCCAGCATGCGTCCCTAATTATGCGACTTTGATTGCCTCTAATGAAATCATTAGAGAAAGACAGAGGGGCGGATTTCACATGCACCAGAAAATCTGCCTCAATGGCCGGAACGAAGAGTGAAAAAAAAAAAGACACCTAAAGTTCACTGTTATTTTCTCTGCTTTATCTTGAATAAGAAATTTCCGCAAAGCCCCTGAAAATATCGGAAAAAACCTCTCCGCTCCGAAGGGCAGCGGCGCTTGAGCAGCCGGCGCGGCGCGGGGTGCGGAGCTCCCGCTGCCTGCGCAGCAGCGGCGCGGGCGGCGAGGGGAAGGACCCGGTGGCCTCGCCGTGGCTTCGAGCAGCTAGTTCATTTAAAATAAATATATTTAAGAGGAAAAAATCGGGGAAAAAAAAAAGGAAGAAAAAAAAACCCCAGAGCGATCCACACCACCGTTATCTGGGAAGAGC